CCTCAGGAAGCCATCCCTGCCCAGGAGGAAGAGCTGCCCCCTCCACAATTCCCTGGAAAGAAAGGTGAGTGCTCACCCACTCTCTTGCCTCCATTTCACTATGGGTCTTGCTCTGACACCAGTCTGATCCATGCGCCTTTGTGCCCTCACCTCTATCTTACAGTGGACCCCCCTCACCCTCAGGAAGCCATCCCTCTCCAAGAGGAAGAGCTGCCCCCTCCCCAACTCACTGTTGAACAGGAAGAAGGTAAGCAACCCCTCTCCTCTTTATCCACCCACCTTTACCCCATGGCCTTACCCCAGAGCATGGGCTTTGGAGCCTGGCAAGATGGTGGGCTCTGCCACTTACTAGTTGTGCAACTTCAGGTAAGTTACTTACCACTCCAAGCGTGTTTCTTTATCTGCACATTTGAGGAAATAATACCTATTTTATAAAGTTATGTGATTAAATGACATAAAATAGCATTTATTTTCACTTTTCTCTGTTGAGTTCCTCTTTATGCATGGGAACTAGCCAGGTCCCTCTCTTCTGGAGATGCCCATGCCAACATGACTTTTGCTTACTCCTTATACCCCAGTAGACCCCCCTCTTCCATATCAGGAGGAGATGATCTTCCAATCAAGCAGAGAGAGGGTGGTGAGTGACAGCTTTGGTCTGTCCATTCCCCTGCCTTAGCTCACGACCCTGGGGAGACGAACCAGGAGCCTGAGCCTCGGGCAGCAGCGCAGGAAACAAGCTTGATCTGGGAGGAGATGGGGGAGGCTGTGAATTTCATGCCTCAATTCTCTTTTCCTTTCGGTCATTCAGTCCAAAAGTGATTTTCTTCCTCGTTTCCCCTATATCCCCCCAAACCTTTCTTCTCAACCTCAAGTTCTCCCACCTCATCCAGACTTTGTTTATTCCTCCACATATTCCCCCTCTCCATTCTAGAAAAGCCAGCTCCATCCATGAGCCAATCCCATCCAAATCCTGAGTCTTGGAATCCAGCCCAGCACTGCCAACAGGGCCGACCCCGAGGGGGCTGGAGCCACCGGCTGGATGGCTTCCCCCCAGGGAGGCCTTCTCCAGACAATCTGAACCAGATCTGCCTTCCTGACCGTCAGCACGTGGTATACGGGCCCTGGAACCTGCCACAGTCTGGCTACTCCCACCTTACTCGCCAGGGTGAGACCCTCAATTTCCTGGAGACTGGATACTCCCGCTGCTGCCGCTGCCACAGCCACACAAACCGCCTAGACTGTGCAAAACTCGTGGTAAGGGTTGGGCTCTTGATGCTGGGGGTGTCCTTTAACCCCCAGAAAGTATGTGTGTGTTTAAGGGCTAGAGTCCTAGGCCTGGGTATGGAGGAACCTCAGGTGCCTTTCACTGGCCCTACCCTGGGCCTCCCCAGTGTGCCAGGAGAGCAGAGGACAGCCACTGCTTCTTTCTTACCTGCCTGCCCAGGGTCCTTCCCCGGAGCCTGAGAGGAAGGCAGGAATGTGGACCATGGGCTGCTGGGCTGATCCACTCCTCTTGCTCTAGTGGGAGGACGCAATGACCCGGTTCTGTGAGGCCGAGTTCTCGGTCAAGACTCGAGCCCACTGGTGCTGCAAACGGCGGGGGGAGGCTCGATTCTCCTGCTTCCAGGAGGAAGCTCCCCAGCCACACTACCAGCTCCAGGCCTGCCCTGGCCACCAGTCTCGTATTTCCTCGGGCCCCGAGCTGCCTTTTCCCCCTGGGGTGCCGACATTGGCCAATATCAAGAACATCTGCCACCTGAGACGCTTCCGCTCTGTGCCACGAAACCTCCCAGCTACTGACCCCATACAAAGGCAGCTACAGGCTCTGACTTGGCTGGAGGGGGAGTTCCAGCACTGCTGCCGCCAGGGGAACAACCACACCTGTACATGGAAGGCAGTAAGTGGGCGTCCCAGCCGCCCCCCATCCCCAGCCTGTTTGCCTGCCTGCCCATCTTCGACCTCTGATCCTGCCGGTCCGTCCATCCATGTGCCTCCCTGCCGTGAACACGTCCACCTGCTCGTCTGCTTGTAGCTGTCCGTCCATCCGTTGTGTTCATCATCTGAGTCTGTTCATCTTAAGCCTTCATACTGCACTCCTGGCCTCATCTACCCACGACCCCACACATGTTCCTGTCCACCGTCCATCCATCTGTCCAGCTCTGGCCTCACCTGACCCTCTCCATCCAGTTCCAGCTCATCTCCCATGGCTAACTCGGAACCTCATCTGGGCTTCCACCCTCTCAACCCCACATATCCAAGCTGCCCCCTTGTCCTCTAATTCTTTGCCCTCTGCTCTTGGCCCTTGGGGCTGAGAGCCCCTCATCTCATAGCGGGGGGCAATAAGGGATACAGATGGTCAGGAGAGGAGGGGCCAAGTGTCCAGGCCTCTGACTTCCCTGTCCCTGGCCCACAGTGGGAGGATACCCTTGATCGATACTGTGACCAGGAGCATGCAGTAAAGACCCATCACCATCCGTGTTGCCACCACCCTCCTAGCCCTGCTCGCGATGAGTGCTTTGCCCGTCGGGCCCCCTACCCCAACTATGACCGGGACATCTTGACCATTGACATCAGCCGAGTCACCCCCAACCTTATGGGCCATCTCTGTGGAAAACAAAGAGTTCTCACCAAGCAGTGAGTCTCCCCCAGTTCTTCCCTAACTCTCTTCCCTTCCCAAAAACCTTCCTTCTGGGGCACCCTTGGGAAGAGCAAAATCATGGTGTCTCAATGCCATTTTGATGCCAGAGGTTGCCCAAAGACCCTGACCCCCATCTCTTTTGCCCCAACATAGTAAACAGATTCCTGGGCTGATCCACAACATGACTGCCCTCTGCTGTGAACTGCCATTTCCAGAACAAGCCTGCTGCGCCGAGGAGGAGGTGAGTGTGGGGGGAAGAGGGGGTCATAGTCTCCAGAGGGATGCATGGGAGGGGAGGGAGAGGCCTAGAACTGCAGGCTACCCCTTCTCTTTAGTACCTCAAACCAGCCCTCAGGAAGAATGAGGACTAGTGGGGGACATGTTTTTCTTGCCAGAAGTCTTCATTCCTGAGCTGGCTTGCCCCCCATTTCCAATTATGCCTTCTCTGGGCCTCAAGCTTCTGGCATTCCCAGATGTGCACATCTGTCAGCCACAAGGAATCCAGCAGTGTAAGGCAGCCTTGCACTCTGTGAGCCTCAGGAAGGCATCCAGAAAGAGAGCAGAAGCGGAGGGAAGGGGGACTTTGGGCACCCAAGTATCCACATCTGGCCTCTGATCACCCCTTCACCATCATCTGTTTCACTCTTCTCTTTCATCAGAAACTAGCCTTCATCGAAGACCTGTGTGGTCCCCGACGGAACTTCTGGCGAGACCCTGCCTTCTGTTGTGACCTGAATCCTGGGGATGAGCAGGTCAACTGTTTCAACACCAATTATCTGAGGAATGTGGCTCTAGTGGCTGGAGATACTGGGAATGCCAAAGGCCAGGGGGAGCAGGGCACAACTGGGGGAACAAATATCAGCTCCACCCTTGAGCCCAAGGAAGAATGAGTCACCCTAGAGCCTTGGAGAATTGGATGGGGGAACCCATCCCCGCCCACCCCACCCTCCTCCAACACTCATTATAGTAAACACCTCTCCGATTTGGCGTCCTCATTGTCTTTAACACCACACACTACACACACCCTCCTAAGCTTGCCTGGATTTCCTTCAGGGGGTGGCCCCTGAGGCCCACTGCCCTGCCCTCACTCACTGAGCAGATGTTCCACAGGCTGTGTGGTGGGACCACAACTAAAGGGTTGACTTCACTATTTGTCATCTTGAATTTATTCAAACATTTTTAAAGGAGTGCTACCTTGTTAGCTAGTGATCAGGATGCAAGGTGAAAAGGACAGGGTTCATGGCCCTGGGGAGCCCCCAAAATGCCACAGCCCATCCTGACATTTTTATTTATTTATTTATTTATTTA